CATTCAAAACTTTCAAAACGATTTAATTTTCAATTCATTTTTCAGTTTACAGAAACGGGTAAGCAAGTCATGTCTTTCAACTCTATTTCCATCCATTTCCTGACCCACCCGTTCCCTGAATCCACCCTTTCCCTGACCCATCCTTTCCCTGACCCACCCATTCCCTCGCCCACCCATTCCCTGACCCACCCATTCCCCGACCTACCCATTCCCCGACCTATCCAGTCCCTCACCTACCCATTCCCTTACCTACCCCTTCCCTGACCCACCCATTCACTGACCTACCCAGTCCCTCACCTATCCAGTCCCTATCAACCCACTCCCCAACATAGCCCTCAACCCCAATTCACCCAAACCATGCTCACCAGATGTATATCGTGGGAGCAGAGTAGTGAGCTGCAACAGGTACTTTTGCAGCACCGGCGCAAGGGCGGATAACTCATAGTAAATGGACATAAATGTAAGTACGAAGCTGTTCAAAAAAGGACGCTGCAAAGAAGGTGAGTATATTATACGGGTAGATCTTGGTTTGGGAGAGGGATGAAGGGTTACGGACGTTTAGCATATAAATAACGATGTGCATGCGTGTGTATGTGTATGTGCGGCTGCTTGTACTAGCCCAGACAGAAGCTGGTTTTATAGTGCTAGCCCACTGAGATACCATGCCGCAGTGAAGCATGAATACCCCACTCAGACACATTATACTGACTCCGAGCCGACCAGTCCTTGTTGTACCCATTAATGCCGAGCGCCAGGCAGGGACTAACAAGTACCATATTTTAACGTCTTTGTGTATGACGCGGTCGGGGATCGAACCCGCGACCTTCCGCTCTCCGAGCGGACGCTCTAACCACTACACCACGGAGGCGGTCTTCTCGTTTATGAGATTGATATACCCGCTTCAAGTTCTTTCGAGATATGGTTGATCAAGTCAGCACCCCTGAACACGGTTACTACATCCGGGTCTTTCAACTACTGAATCGAGAGGGGGGCCCAGGAGACCCATATCAGGCACTGTATTGAAACGTTTGCATCAACGACAGCATATGTGACATATACCGGTACAGGCATGGACTTTCAGACCTGGCGGCGAGTCTGGTTCAGTGATAGCACACGATTTTATCTCCAGTGTCCAGACGGGTCATGAACCTTTAGCACTGGGTCGACAGATTAGGTGGCGAAAGTGTTGTGAGGGGAGCCATATCTTACACACGGAGATCTGACTTAGTGATCATTCTGGGGAATCTGACAGCAAATCGGTACATCGACCACGTGTTTCAACGTCACCTCCTATCACCTGACAGCGAGAGTCAACATGGCCATACACAGCTCGTGTAACTTTGGACTTCCGTCATAATTAAAATTTCTTGCCATGGCTTTCCACACCTTCGGACATTAACCCAGCAGAGGATTTCGAGATGAGTCGTCAACATTCGCCACAGACACCTACGACAGGATAGTCAGCCACAGACACCTACGACAGGATAGTCAGTATGCCATTATGCCAATAAATTTCAAGGTTCCCCTATAGGCTTCTTTTCTTTTTCTTTAAAAAAAATGAAAATAAAAATGAAAAAATTGCAAAACCTATTTTAAACATTGATCATCTCTTCTGTGTAGTGACGAGTGGGAGACCCGTGCGTAAAACGATAATTAATATAACAATAACTAGGGGAAACCACAGTACCAACAATACATAAAAAAACTTTCTAAGGAAGGAGAGAGTGCCCAATGGCACATAATTATTGGGAAGAAATTACCGATAATTGTAACCTTCGGTTTAACAAGGTTTCACTGCACATGGTGTGAGATGACTTGAGGCAGTGGCAGAGGGAGACGTCTGTACATTATAGGGTCGCTTTAAATAGACAAGGGGGTACCTTACGTCCTCCAAGCCTTTCAGTGCTGATGACTACCTTCAACGTGTTCTGGTGGAGAAGTCAATGCACCTCGTCATAGAAGATATAGCAGGACAACGAGACCATACTGAGGTTGTCTACAACTTGGGGGGTTCTGCAGACTCTGCATTGCGAGGCTCCACCAACCATGGACCTTTCTCCACCACCACCACCACGTCCATAGGACAGGAAACAACAACGGCACACGGTCCTGCATCATCAGCCATGACGTCACACAATCATGGGTGGACATCGGACTAAGGGGCATGTCTCTCTATACATGTTTATGTTTCTTAAGGACTTGAATGCCCATTCGAATAAATATGGAACGAGCTACTGTTCGCCCTGTCGAGACGCCCTGCATGTCCTCCTGGACGCTCAACGCTAACTCGGCAATGCACTCACTGAAGAGTGGAATCACCTTCTCTTGACAACCATTCGGAGCATGAGACAACGAAGCCACGTCGCACAAGATAGAGAGAGAGTAGTTTGTTCGGGTAATGAATTCGTGTTCAGTTATTATTTTACGTTACAGTTCTGGTCATAAATTGCCATTTTGACGGGCAACTTTTGATAAACTTGTTTGTTAGTATTTTGTGGTACATGATACATTATACTTGTCTCATCTGTTCTATTTAAACAGATGAGCACAATTTGCGGTAATACGTTTTTGATCCCAAGCAGTATCTTTCGTATATTGAAAGATTAAGAACACGCGTTGACCTGCCAGGCTTTTGTGTCAATGTTCGTCCTTTCAGACTGCATCCAGAGGGACCACGCTCTATAATCTAGAGCAATATAGATTCTAATGATGTCATTTGCGCTGCACCATATTGTTTCCATTCTGACTTTTTACAATAAATGCTATAGGCTACTTCTTTATGCAAAAAATTATATTCTTAGTGATTCGGAGGCATTCCGTCGGCTAACCATGTAAATTTTATTCCATTTTTACAGAAAAAGACAATGCCATCAGCTTTTTGCCTGTCAAAACACATCTTGTAACCATATTTTACATACTTTTATATTATTTTACTATACATACGTTTTGGTGTCCACTCTATGCCTAAATCCGAAGGAATCAGATGTTTTCGTTTTTTAGCTTGGGTCAGCGCGCTCGAATACACCCGTCGCTATGCGTATATGCACGTGGGTTTAAAATCTCGTGCATTTCGTGGTCATAGCGGACGACAGCGTTAATCAGTTTAACATCAGCGGGATTGTTGGACATATTGCTGAGGGACAGCGTCGTCCAGCCTGGAGTTAATTAGAGTGCTTCCATTATCGGGAAGACATTTATACAGACGTTTGATCATTCGAAACAATACCAGTCATCTATTTTTCGTTATTGTTTTGTTTCAGTTTTGATATATTTATAAGTATGACCTGTATGATATAAGATATAAATGAATATATAGGTCATAAGTTATAAATTTGTCAGAAACAATACCAGTCATCTATGTTCACAACGTATGACCTATAGATACAAGCATGGACAATACTTCTATACAGAACGGACCCTGGTTGTGACCATAATCTATCATATGGTCTCTGTTGTGACCAAATATCTTTTGCTGCTTGTTTTAAGTTACAAACACTTACAGTTTGTAAACACAATGTGCATACGTTTTCACGTTTACACTTGGAACCATAAATGCAAAATATATTGAAATCAATTCATTAATGACTTCTATAAATCTTTACACACTTCTTGAAAACATACATACAGCCCCAAGGAAATGGATGATGTATGGAGTTTGGTTTAGTACTGTTATATCATGGTGTGTCTGAGAAAAACGAAAGGAAAGCCTGAAGGTTTATAACCACAAGCATCTTGGAATATATCTGGCCCAACCAGGATGGGAACTCATCTGCAATCAGAGGTTCCTGGGTTGCATGTCCAGGGATTAATGAAAATGTGCAACTCTGCACAGTGAATGGCTGGGATCAGGAATTGTTCATCTGCAGTATATTACAGACTTAGGAATCATATGCTGACCAGACATCTGTGCCAATGTCTGTCCTTTGCAATAGGGTGTTCTGGTCAAGATACAATGCTCTGTCACCTGCAAAACATGTCTACTCTGAGTTTATATGGTATATTGATCAACATCTTCAGATCTAATGACTCCTACACTGTTACAAGGTATGGCTTGTACTTTGACTTTTCATTGTTTGACTTTATATTAGTTTATGCAAGAAAACCCATTGCAAGTCATTCTGGATTTGATCAGCTAACCATGAAGATTGTATTCAGTTTTAACCTCCCTGAAAAATGAACCATACCAATATCACACTACTCAAGGCTTAGTTTTCTTTGTATAGTTGTGTTAAAAGCTATATAAGCACACTATAATAGCTTTCTACCATGCCAGTTGTCAGCAACTAGGCACAACAGATGCCTCATAGAAGACCATTCCACTGTTGTTGTTTTTGTTCGTTGTTTAAGGTTGCACTCAGCAATATTCCAGCTACATGGCAGTGATCCGTAAATAACCGAGTCCAGACAATCCAGTGATCAACATCATGAGCATCAATCTACGCAACTGCGATACAATACATAGGTCAACAACGTCAGCGAGCCGGACCACCCGATCCCATTAGTCGCCTCTTACAAGCATGGGTTGCTGAAGACCAATTCTAACAAGGGTCGTCACAGGTGGGCCACCCTTGTCAATGAGGTGAGGTGAAATTGGGTTTAACGTCGTGCTTGAGAATATTTCGCTCATATGACGACGTGCATGCGTGTGTATGCGTGTGTATGTGCGGCTGCTTGTACTAGCCCAGACTGAAGCTGGTTTTATAGTGCTAGCCCACTGAAATACCATGCCGCAGTGAAGCATGAATACCCCACTCAGACACATTATACTGACGCCGAGCCGACAAGTCCTTGTTGTACCCATTAATGCCAAGCGCCAGGCAGGGATCAACAAGTACCATATTTTAACGTCTTTTGGTATGACGCGGTCGGGCATCGAACCCGCGACCTTCCGCTCTCCAGGCGGACGCTCTAACCACAACACCACGGAGGCGGTCCCCTTGTCAATTAAGTAGTCACTTGTACTTGACTGTGTTATGGAAACAGAAAACAAACACCAGTGGCGCTGGTTATTTCATTTCAATATTATTTCTATATACAAACTTCACAATATAAACATGTCTTTATAAGATCCTTCATCAATCTCTTTACATGGAAATGCTAGCTGGGTACAGTGTATCACAATCAATGTGTCCACACCAAGCTTCACAGCCAGTGTGGCAGCAGATGAAGATGTTGAAGACGATGAAGATGACGCTGAACAACAAATCAAACCTCTAGTCCACTGTCTCCACCACTGTAACAGACAAAAACACATCTAGAAAAACATTCTTTTTATATCAGAACCCATTTCTACATAGCAGTCTTAGCTAGGACCACCCTATCTTGTACTTCAACATTGATCAGCCCAACTTTAGATTAGCGTTGTGAATACATGGCTATAAAGTTATCTGTTATAAGGTTTCATATTTGCAGTGCTGTGTTCACCAAGCTAACCTAAAGTGGGATAGAACATTTATGGATGCATCAATGCTTATAAAGGACACTGCTTACAAGTTCCTGATAATTTTAATCTTTATTAATTGTTACCATTTCCTCTACCACTTACATTTGGGCAAACATGTCAGTCACACAACTGAGTTAACTCCTGCATTAAGTCAAACACAATCTGATGACAATAGTGATCACCATTTCTAACAAAAAGGTGAACTCTCTCTTGTTTGTCTTCAATTCACACCATGATAACGCAAAGACATTTGAAAAAGAATTGCCCACTGTCATTTTAATTTCCTTACAAATTTAAAAATGTTTGTTGGTCTTGTAAACCAGCTGATAAAGACTGAAATATCCTAGTTGTAGAATTCTTGTTCAGCTAAATAGAGCTGTCTATCAGGTTACAGCACACTTCACTAGACACATCTCTCTGTACCTAGTGTTAATATGAGCACATCACACATCTAGGTGCTACACGATGTTAGACTCGGGTTAGAATGTACAAACACTGTATTGTCACACAATGTAACTCTGTCCATGGTGACAAAAACAACCTGTTTTCAATCTGAATGTGTCTTTCATTACCTGTCTCTCCTTGTCTCATTCAGTCATTGGTATATATTGTGCTGTTAATACAGCATATTCTCTGTACATGTACATATCATTCCATGTATAAGAGGTGAGGTGAAATTGGGTTTTACGCCGTGCTTGAGAATATTTCAGCTCATATGATGGCGCTTTTGGTATGATCGCGGTGGGGATCGAACCCGCAACCTTCCCTCTCGGGCGGACGCTCTAACCACTACACCACGGATGTGGTCCCTTGTATAAGAGGGACGGTGGGGTAGCCTAGTGGTTAAAGCGTTTGCTCGTCACGCCGAAGGCCCGGGTTCGATTCCCCACATGGGCACAATGTGTGAAGCCCATTTCTGGTGTCCACTGCCATGATATAGCTCAAATATTGCTAAAAGCGGCGTAAAACGCAACTCACTCACTCACCTTGTATACGAATCATAAAAAATGTCCCAGAGTCCTAGTCAGTATAACTGTGATCCATGAGCAATGCATGTCATGTCTAGTACATATCGTGCCTCGTATACATGGATATGTTTGTGCAGAATGTATCATGTTCTGAATACATCTACTGGGTATAGATCTGTGAAGATCCGGGTTAGAACTGATCTTCAGTAACCCATGCTTGTCGTAAGAGGCGACTAACGGGATCGGGTGGTCGGGTTCACTGACTTGGTTGACACATGTCATTGTATCCCAGTTGCGTAGCTCGATACTCATGATGTTGATCACTGGATTTCCTGGTCCAGACTTGATTATTTACAGACCACCGCCGCCATATAGCTGCGTAAAACTCACTCACTCACTCAACTGGGTATATATTTGTACAGTATATATCATAATCTGTATGTATACATGAACATATACATGTACATGTTCATAGTGTTTCCAACCCGTGAAGATCCGGGGTACAATAAGTCTTCAGCAACCCATTCTTGTCATAAAAGGCGACTATGCTTGTCGTAAAATGCAGGATCGGGTGGTCAGGCTGGCTGACTTGGTTGACATATGTCATCGGTTCCCAATTGCGCAGATCGGTGCTCATGCTGTTGATCACTGGATTGTCTGGTCCAGACTCGATTATTTACAGACCGCCGCCATATAGCTGGAATATTGCTGAGTGTGGCGTAAAACTAAACTCACTCACTCACTCATAGTGTTTCCCCAGGACACTTTAGCAGGATGCAGCGCCCTGCCCTTTTTACTTGGCGCCGTGCTGTTTTTACTTGGCGTCCTGCCATTTTAACTTGGCGCCCTGCCATTTTAACTTCACGTCCTGCCATTTTTTTAACACAATAATTGATATTAATACTTGGTGGTTTTTAGTTTCTGTTTCATGCTGAAGTTAAGTCAAATAACTGTGCCCTTTGAGCCTTTAAGAATCATATGCATGAACAACTTAACATAATACTTGGTAATCTGCCATTGAATACCCCTTTTTGAATAAGGGTGCCACATTCTGTTGCCCTCATTGTTAGGATCCTGGGGGAAACACTAGTCCAGTATATATGGTCGTATGTATACATCTGCCAGGTATATGCAATATTCCCGGATATATGGCAGCAGTCTGTAAATAATCGAGTCTGGACCAGACAATCCAGTGATCAACAACATGAACATTAATCTATGCAACTGCGATACGATGTGTCACCCAAGTCAGCGAACCTGACCATCCGATCCTTTTAGCCACCTCCAACAACAAGAATGGGTTGGTGAAGACCAATTCTTACCCGGATCTTCACAGGTCTCGCCTTTACGACAAGCATGGGTTGCTGAAGACCAATTCCTACCCGGATCTTCACAGGTATATTGCATTGAGTATACATCTACTGGGTATATGCTTATGCTGGATAATTCATGTATATACATGAATATGCTAATCTAGTACATAGTGTGCTTGTCCAGTATGCATTGTGCTCTGTGAAAATGAATATGCCAGAGCAGTATATATTGTGCTCTGTATACACTGTGCTAATCCAATATATAATGTGCTCTGTAGACACTGCATGAGGGTTAGATAAGCAAAGGTGTTCAGATATTCCTGTCAGTGTCTATTATTTGACATATACTTTATCTCAGTCATAAATGAAATAAATTGGAAGCTGTTGTAGAGAATATGTCCAGGGTATCTATGGTAACAGAATGGAGATATATCACATGGAATTACCGAAGATGGAAGGAACTACGTCATTCTACACATCAATGCTCTGTATACATATACACGAGCACCTGACTTCTCACAATGAGATATACCCACATTAAACAAGGAAGAGCAGGATATTTTTACATGTTTCATTTCTGAATAAATATCAGTTGGAAATGGACCTAATAGCAAAACTGTTTTCCTGATTCTTAAACAACATAACCAAGGGTTTCAATTGACGTTAGATTAAACTCAGTCAGTGTCAAGATATATATACAGTCTGTGCTAAAAATTCTGAGTCAGGTTACCCAAATTTGGTTAGTCACATCAATTTCAGTACTCTTTAGGGTAATCAGATGATCACACTTGACCCAACAAAATGTTACTAGACTCGGGTTTAGGACCAGAGTTTAAAGTCACAGACTGTACATATATTGCTGTTTGTTACAAAGGGCCATACCTTCATCTGAAAAACAACCAACAGACAGGTCAACAACAGTGAAACAACAATTTGCATTTGAAATTGTTCATATGCTACTCAAAAAAAGTTAAGACCACCTGATTCTTTCAAACAGTTAATCTGCTGTGGCATGTATTTTTCTCTAGTAATATGAACAAATATTAATTTCTTTTGAATCTGTAATAAATTGTGTTAATCCAGGCCTTTAGTGGGGATTTCCTGTGATTCACTCATAATTAAGGGACAGATTATTCATCATTCTTAATTTTCTGTAGATTATTTAATGAATAACTCACTGACATTATGAGAGCTAAAATGTCAATAAAACGCATGGAATTTAAGTCAGATCTTCGGAGAAACTTCCAACTATTGTTCAGATGATGTAATCAATCTGTGATATCATGGACATTGGATGACCTTATATGGTATTTTTCACAAGAATGAAACACATGATGTCATCTAGATTGACCAATCAGCATTGAGAATACACATATGCAAATATCAGACAGTTATTTACACTTGATCATTAAAGTGAGTGAGTGAGTGAGTTTAGTTTTACACCGCACTCAGCAATATTCCAGCTATATGGCGGCGGTCTGTAAATAATCGAGCCTGGACCAGCCAATCCAGTGATCAACAGCATGAGCATCTATCTGCGCAATTGGGAACCGATGACATGTGTCAACCAAGTCAGCCAGCCTGACCACCCGATCCCGTTAGTCGCCTCTTACGACAAGCATGGGTTACTGAAGACTCATTCTAACCCGGACTCCGACTTTCTTGGGTTTGATCATTAAACACTTATGGATAACACTGTACTTAGGTTCTGACATGGTTTATTTTTAGGATTATTTGATTTGGTTGAAATTCTCATTTAATTATTTACAAGATCTACTGCAAATGATTAGTTCCTGAGAGTAAGAATCAAAATATCATCATTCTATATGGAAATAATGTACAGTCTTAAAACTGTTTTTTTATTTATGCAGAAAGATGAGACAGAATGTGTCCATATAAATATTATTTTTACAATCCCATGAACAACCAACTTAGCTAAAATACAATCCCATTAAACTTGTAGTCATGAGTGGTGATAAGAACCAAGGACCTCTGTCCTGAAAGACACCAACCCTTGAACAAAATTTTGAAATCTTATTGTGGTGTTTGATGTGGGAATGCCTGTCAACAATGTTTCAGCTAGATCATGGCAGCTTGTAAACAATCATGCAAAGGCCTTGTCAACTAGTGACCGACAGTATGAACAACGGGTCATGTGATCAGGGCACGATGACACAGTCAGACAAATCATGTGATGTTGGTAAAGGACCCTGTTAGGGATGATCTTGGTACTCACATTTAGGGATGTTGACTTTGTTGGAGATGAGGACATCAGCTTGGATGTGGTTCATGTTGACATACAGGGTCTCAGGGTTTGCCTGCAACATGCATAAAGATGATGATGATGATGATGATGATGATGATGATGATGATGATGGTGATGATGATGATAAAGATAATGAAGATGATCGATGATAATGATGATGATGATGATTGATGATGATAATAATGATGAAGATGATGATAAAGATGATGATGAAGATGATGATAAAGAAGATGATGATCGATGATAAAGGTGATGATGGTGATGATGATGATGAAGGTGATGATGATTATAATGAAGAAGAAGATGATGATATGATGAGGATGATGATAAAGATGATGATGAAGATGATGATAAAGATAATGATGACAATGACAATAAAAACGGGAACCTTTAGTAATTTTCTGGTTAACCAATTCACTTACCACATTCAACAAGATAATTAATTGTTCACATTTACTTTCTTTTTCCATATTTTCAATAACTGATTTGAATATTATGACACAGAATTTCCAAAACATGAGAGACAAGAAAAACATAAAAGCACTAACAATTATACATTACACATCAGTATTCATATCTATGATTTCAATGTACAGACAAAACGCTGATTCACTCACCATAAACAGATCATACAAAGCTTCTCCCATGGCGTCTCGAACATGGTCGTCAACAATTGGAAATGTCCTACAGAAATACTGGAAAACAATAAATAGAATATGTAGGAACTGAGTGAACGGTTAGAATATGCCATTTAATGACAGTTGATGTGGATTGGCAGTATGGGTATTCTGGTGGGTGGCCATTTTTGTTGCATTTTTGGGGGCACTTCCTCTGAGGGGCAAGTCATTTATTATAGGGAGGAGGGTGAGTGAGTGAGTATGGTTTTACGTCGCCTTTAGTAATATTCCAGCAATATCATGGCGGGTTACACAAAGAAATTGGCTTCACACATTGTAGGCATGTGGGGAACCCCAGTCTTCAGTGTGACAAGCAAATGCTTTAACCACTCAAGTGTTCACTTGTCATGCCCGAAGGCCCTGGTTTGATTCCCCACTCAGGTACAATGTGTTTTGAAGCCCCCATTTCTGGTGTCCCCAGACACTGCCAGAATATTGATAAAAGCAGTGTAAAACCAAACTCACTCACTCACTCACTCATTTACTCTTAGATATTTATGAGGATATTTCTAAACAAGAAGACATGGTCATCAATATCCCCTGCCACACAGTTCCTGTTTTTTAACTCCACCATGACATTCATGTCATGAAAACCTATCCCCAATTATTGGAGATAAAGTGCACTAAGTCAAGAAACGCATGACAAGGGCCATAACTCTGTAAGAAATTGTAAAACGGTTCCTGTTTATATTAACTCCACCACGACATTCATGTTCTGAAAACACATATACCACATTTGGTTTCCCTATCTATAACGGTTACTGAGAAAATCTGTCCCCATTGGGGATAACATCCACTAAGTTAAGAAACGCATGACAAGGGTCCATAACTCTGTAACAAATTGTAACACGGTTTCCGTTTTCGAAGTCCATCAAGGCATTCATGTCCTGAACACACAAACCAAATTTGGTTTCCCTATCTATAACGGTTTTGAGAGAAAATCTGTCCCCACCATCTTGGACCAGGGGAAATTGGGTTTAACGTCGTGCTTGAGAATATTTCACTCATATAATGGCGTGCATGCATGTGTATGTGTATGTGCAGCTGCTTGCTACTAGCCCAGACTTAAGCTGGTTTTATAGTGCTAGCCCACTGAGATACCATGCCGCAGTGAAGCATGAATACCCCACTCAGACACATTATACTGACTCCAAGCCGACCAGTCCTTGTTGTACCCATTAATGCCGAGCGCCAGGCAGGGACCAACCAGTACCATATTTTAATGTCTTTTTGGTATGGCGCGGTCGGGGATCGAACCAGCGACCTTCCGCTCTCGGGCGGGCGCTCTAACTTCCACTACACCACGGAGGCGTTCTTCTTGTTTATGAGGCATCGATATACCCTCCCACTCTGTGGCAGGGATGATAATACATGAAGTGAAATTGGTTTACAAGCATGGGTATGGTGTTGACAAACCCAGGAACATAATCTGAGCCAAACACAATTCAAACGCATGATCACAGGTTCCTGGTGTTCCCAAGGGACACAACTCTGCATAGAAATGAGTTGAAACATGGAAGTTCTCAACAAACAAAACATGGAAGCTGCAATGCTTAACCGTTTTCTCGGTGTATATTTGTTTGCTGGTTTGTTGGTTAACGCCGCACTCAGCAATATTCCAGCTATATGGCAGCGATCTGTAAATAATTGAGTCTGGACCAGACAGTCCTGTGATCAACAGCATGAACATCGATTTATGCAATTGAGATACAATGACATGTATCAACCAAGTCAGCGAGCCAGACCTCCCGATCCCGTTAGTCGCCTCTTATGACAAGCATGGGTTACTGAGGACCAATTCTAACCCGGATCTTCACGGATGGTATACATGTTTCAGTGTGAGTGGGTGACGAACCTCGAGTGTGATGCTGGCTTGTCTTTGACTGTCAGCGTAGTCCTGGTTACCCATGGCAAACATCAGGTTGTGCACCACTCGGGTCTGGAAAAGACAAGGCATTCACATTAGACAAGCAGACAAATATCTGAAAGCATTTATGGTGTGCAAATATCGTCAGACAAAACTCAAAATTACCATGGCAACACTATTTCTATTTCAATTTCATCAGCTGTAGCTAAAAGTCATTAAACAATACAACAAAAAAAGTTAAAGAAAAAAAATATTTCATAACTTTTGATCAACATTTTAACTGATAAAATACCATTAAGGTCTCATGTCGTCAACTTAAAGCGTTTTCTCATCACATCGAAGACCTGGGTTCAATTCCCCTCATGGGTACGATATGTGGAGCCCATTTCTGGGGTCCCCCGCCGTGATATTTCTGAAATATTGCCAAAAGCAGCCTAAAACTAAACTCACTCCCTCACTCATGTCATCAACTAATTAAAAGCTTTACCTGAATCAGTTTTTCTGCAAGTTCATTACTGTCTCTTGCCAGGATGCTGAAAATAAAAGCAAGAACACTATCAGCATACAGCATAAATTTCAAGTGAGCTTCCATCATGTCCAGCTTGTCCATCATCGATCAATGTCAGGGTCAGTAGTGATGTCCATGTGAGAAAAAATCTTCTCCAAAAAACCATCAACAAATATATCTGATGCTCCTGAAATTTTGTTTTCCTTTCATTGAAAACTGATTAAGTTAATCAAGACATCAGAAATCCAATTTTCAATATGGCTGCTATGGGAGCCATCTTGAAATACACTCTACTTGACTCTCTTTCCAAATGTATTGAATTTTGGAGCGTCTGTAGTTAGTAATGGAGTCAGTTTCTTGAGATATTTTGAAATTTAACCTCAATTTGAGCTTTTCAACTTGATCATGCCCTTACTCTTTTGAAAGTGCATTCTGTGCTCTGATTTCTGTTCGAATGATGGAGATGAAATTTGGTATACATTTTTCTGCTGATGAAATCAGATTTTGCTTTAAGTTTTATAATTCTACTTTTAATTTTCATATACATGACAGAAAAGAGAAATACACTAAATATTTAAAAATATGATTTGCAAACATCACAAAAGGCAAAAAATATACACTTTGTTCAGTGACAGTCATTGTTGATCCATTAAACTACTGACTAAACATTTAGGAGAGCTACAATTCCCAGGCATTATTTTGTATCAGCTTCAAGAGTTTTGTATGTGTCCTCAAAATGTTAAATCTAAGCTCTCACAATTTCTGTGTTGTCATGGCAACCAGCTTACCCAATAGTTTTAGCTGCTGCTGCTTGCTGTACGTACACAGGTAGAGGGGCACTGATCTTTGGAACATCAGGATCTGTTGGCAGAAACACTATGTAACAGTGCACATACAGATGCTTTCACTATGGTAACAACAAATAAAGAAAAAGAAATCAAGAAAAATAATGGTAGCAACCTTTAACTGTTTAGTTCTGAGTTAGAGAGTTTGTAAACTTTATACTGCTTTTCATAATATTCAAGCAACATATTAGCAGAGGATTCTAGAAATGAGCTCCATACATTGTAACGTGTATGTCTGATAGTCTCTGAAATGATCTATTTTTTCAACCACCCAACCCTTCAAAATAAATGTAATGCAATAGTCCTAAATGAAGCAAGTCAAGATTTCCTACAGGTGCAGTTCTGAATCTCCAGCTCATTTGGGGTTCATGTTCAGTTTATATGAAGTTTAAATGGAGCCTCTATCAAAATTCAGAGACTTGTTTGTCTTATTGTACCCGTAGAGGAGGGCCATTGAACGACCATCAGCATAATGAGCAAAAGCTTTAACCATGAAGTTAACCGAAAACCCTTGAGTATTCTGTAATCTGCACATTTACTGCAGGCCTTGCATGTGAAAGGTTGGCACAGAAATCCAAAAGATATCACTGCACTACAACTTTCTTTAATGCATTTCATCACAGGTTCAAATTATCACCAGAAAACTATTTTTTTTTATGCTGAGATTCATTCTCTTCTCACAGAGGTTACTTGTCATATCTTCCTACGAACCTCTGTTCTAATACGGCCATATTTCCCGGTTCTCGTAAAATCCCCTAGTGGCAAAAGATCGCAACACGAATTATCTCCCTTCTTTCTATCCAATCAGAACACGTGTTACATCGACTTAGATTCAACTTGACTAACACAAGCAAATGTGGGGCCACAAATATCCCCCATCTGCCGGGGACTTGTGTTGATGTTACACACAAGACGTTTAATGGCTAGCTTGTCCGTTGTCAACGAGGGCGATGGAGACCGAACTGATCCGCCATAACATGACTGAGTTCTGTCTAGAAGAAACGTTTGCGCATCGCGCAGGGGAAGAAGTTTAGTTTTCTCGAAGCATACGGAAATTACCGAGGCCTTGCGAATGATCACTTTTGAAACAATGTCGCTGATTGCACAACTAAATCTGATTGCCTCCAATCACGAGTCTTGAACGCTCACACCATGAAAGGGCCGTATTAGAACAGAGGTTACGCAGGAAAATATGACAGGAGTAACCTCTGTGGGAAGAGAATGGCTGAGATTGTGTATCATCTTTAATGTCTGGGTTATAAAGTGAAGCTTATGGAGAACCTTCAAGAATCTCTGGCCTGGGTAGACTGTCCTCCTTGGCTGGTCGGAGTAGCGCCACCAGACCCTTCAGCAGACTGGTAGACACATCGTAGTCCATCAGCTCCTTGACCAATTCAATAGCTGCAAACATCACAGTAGTAAGGAATGGGTCAGTGCCATCTCAGTATAATCAGATCTTTTAAGAAAACAATACTCTCTGAATAGACATCTAAGGACATGTCCGGTCGATTTTCTCATGAGCCAAACAGCATTTCTTGACATGTGAAACATTTAGACAGAGCTCCAGATAGCATTAAATGATTTATACTGTGACTCTTCATGAACATGATTCACATTATGTAACCACATATCTTTTAACGCCAACTACTCAGCAATATTCCAGCTATATGGTCTGTAAATAATCAAGTTTGGACCAGACAATCCAGCGATCAAAGTCAGCATTTTAAATGAGCCTGACCATCCGATCCCGTTAGTCACCTCTTCTTACGACAAGCATGGGTTGCTGAAGGCGAATTCTAACCCGGATCTTCACGGGTTCTGTCCGATCATGACGCAGAGCATGTCCTTGGTAATTATGCAGAATAATGGCCACTGAGACAATGGGCGTACACCCTTGTGATCTAACAACTGTATATCACTTGTACCTTACCTTCAAACTGTACCTCTAGATGGAGAGTTTTCAGTAGGTTCAGTAACGGCTCCACCACACTGACATTTGCCTGTCTCACTGTTGCCTAAAGACAAACACACCAGTTGTCAAGAAACAGCGAGCGAGTGAGTGAGTGATTATGGTTTTATGCCGCTTTTAGCAATATTCCAGCAATATCACGGCAGGGGACACCAGAAATGGGCTCCACATATTGTACCCATGTGGGGAATCGAATCTGGGTCTTCGGCATGACAAGCGAACGCTTTAACCATAAGGCTACCCCACCATGAAACAGAGCTAGTAGACAAGCACTGACATCAGTGATCATTACAGAAGGTGACTGCCCATCACAGCTGGCAATGTTTGAAAAATGCATTGAAGTCAAAAGGGTGCTTGTCAATTTTTGGAGATTGATTTTGTGGCATCAAAACATTTAGATAGTGTAGCAAGTACAATAGTAAGCTAAAAAAAACCAGGAACCCGTTGATTTCTAACATTACTTGTCATTACACTGCACATTGCACTGATTTCACTGGCCATTACACAGTGCTGACAGCCAAGCACTTTTGAAGTCCATAGGATCCTCATTAACGCTTTAACGTGTAAATGCCGACCCTACCTTTTGTTTACGACACCTACCTGTACAACTCTGAGTGAGTGTGCTGCCATCTGCTGGGCTTTAGGTGAGCTACATGGCAGCAGAGCAATTAGACCCTTGTACACCTGCATCTCAAACTTGGGATTACCCTGGCCCAGCATCAGCAGCAAGTTCCGGCACGCATCCTGGGTCTCCTCACTCTTAGACTTGGCCAGGCACTCAGCCACAGCACGGATACCTGTCGCAGAACATCACAGCGTTGTGGGAACATGATGCAGAACATTGCAGTATTGTGGGGACATGATGCAGAACATCACAGTGTTGTGGGAACATGATGCAGAACATCACAGTATTGTGGGAACATGATGTAGAACATTGCAGTGTTGTGGGAACATGATGCAGAACATCACAGCATTGTGGGAACATGATGCAGAACATCACAGTATTGTGGGAACATGATGCAGAACATCACAGCATTGAGTGAACATGATGCAGAACATCACAGCATTGTGGGAACATGATGCAGAACATCACAGCATTGTGGGAACATGATGCAGAACATCACAGTATTGTGGGAACATGATGCAGAACATCACAGCATTGTGGGAACATGATGCAGAACATCACAGCATTGTGGGAACATGATGCAGAACATCACAGTATTGTGGGAACATGATGCAGAACATCATGATGCAGAACATCACAGCATTGTGGGAACATGATGCAGAACATCACAGCATTGAGTGAACATGATGCAGAACATCACAGCATTGTGGGAACATGATGCAGAACATCACAGCATTGTGGGAACATGATGCAGAACATTGCAGTATTGTGGGAACATGATGCAGAACATCACAGTATTGTGGGAACATGATGCAGAACATCACAGTATTGTGGGAACATGATGCAGAACATCACAGTATTGTGGGGAACATGATGCAGAACATCACAGTATTGTGGGAACATGTGGGGACATCACAGATGCAGAACATCACAGTATTGTGGGAACATGATGCAGAACATCACAGTATTGTGGGGATTGTGGGAACATGATGCAGAACATCACAGTATTGTGGGAACATGATGCAGAACACATTGTGGGAACATGATGCAGAACATCACAGTATTGTGGGAACATGATGCAGAACATCACAGTGTTGTGGGACATGATGCAGAACATCAAAGTGTTGTGGGGACATGATGCAGAACATCACAGCATTGTGGGAACATGATGTGTATTGTGGACATGATGCAGAACATCACAGTATTGTGGGGAACATGATGCAGAACATCACAGCATTGTGAGAACATGATGCAGAACATCACAGTGCATGCAGAACATGATTGCAAAAACATCACAGTATTGTGAGAACATGATGCAGAACATCACAGTATTGTGGGAACATGATGCAGAACATCACAGTATTGTGGGATGCACATGATGCAGAACATCACAGTATTGTGGGACATGATGCAGAACATCACAGTATTGTGGGGACATGATGCAGAACATCACAGCATTGTGGGAACATGACAGAATGATGTAGAACATCATCACAGTATTGTGGGGACATGATGCAGAACATCACAGTATTGTGGGGACATGATGCAGAACATCACAGTATTGTGGGGACATGATGCAGAACATCACAGTATTGTGGGGACATGATGCAGAACATCACAGTATTGTGGGGACATGATGCAGAACATCACAGTATTGTGGGAACATGATGTAGAACATCACAGTATTGTGGGGACATGATGCAGAACATCACAGTATTGTGGGGACATGATGCAGAACATCACAGTATTGTGGGGACATGATGCAGAACATCACAGTATTGTGGGGACATGATGCAGAACATCACAGTATTGTGGGGACATGATGCAGAACATCACAGTATTGTGGGGACATGATGCAGAACATCACAGTATTGTGGGGACATGATGCAGAACATCACAGCATTGTGGGAACATGATGCAGAACATCACAGTATTGTGGGAACATGATGCAGAACATCACAGTATTGTACATGATGCAGAACATGATGCAGAACATCACAGTATTGTGGGGACATGATGTAGAACATCGCAGTATTGTGGGAACATGATGCAGAACATCACAGTATTGTGGGGTCATGTGGAAGAACACAGTATTAGAGGAACATGCAGTAGAACATAGAATGTTGGGATCATGTTGTAAAGCATGACAGCCAATGTTTATACAGCTGAAATGTTTGCTGAAAAAGAACAATATGTATAAACTTCATATCTTCTTCAATATTTTAATGAAAGTAAAACAACTTATGTACTGTATGGCGTTACTTTATACTTTGAAAAAATATTCTGTTATAGTAGAAAGATGATCCTACCATAGCTCTCGCACACAAGTTCCTTGTATTTGCGGCCAGCATTTGCAATGTGCTGTATACACTTGACAGCCTGCGCTTTGTCTGCTTCCTTCGCTTGTTTCAGTCCTATGACCTCAAGGAGGGTCAGAACGCCTCCAACCTCAAGAAATTCTGCCATGAACTTGTGACTGATGACAAATAACAAATTCATTACTCACATATGAACAAGTCAATTTATTATTTTGAACTTCAGTCAAAACAAAGATAATCATAATCAGTACAACAGATGACAAAAAATATATTACTCTGAGAGACATGATTAAAGTATGGTGATACATCTTGTAGACATTGTTTCTTCTGGTTCCTCTATTTTCTTAGCATACATCATATAAAAAATGAAATGTTTTCTTGATAGCAATGTTTTATTATATGCTTTTTATACTGAGGCTGTGAAATTTAAAATAACTGTCTGATCTCAAACAGATTCAGCACTGAAGTAATCAAAAACAGGAGTTTATTTTTTATATAGAAATATTGATAAAGGTTCCCGCTAAATGACTTAATTTGCATATTTATCAGATCATTATGATATGTTGTATTGCATCAGTAACTCTATCCATCATATGATAAAGTATACTTACCCACTAGATGCAGACAGGAATATGGACACTGCACACAGTTGTTCATGAAGACATGTGCCAATCATGTATCTGCCATTCATTAAGGATTTCACCAGTAATTGTGCAAGTAATCGTTTAATCATTAAAAAAGGACTGGTTATTCCTTATAAGACTGACTGCCACAGGTTTTACGCCGCTTTTAGCAATATTCCAGCAACATCACGGCGGGGGACACCAGAAATGGGCTTCACACATTGTACCCATGTGGGGATTCGAACCCGGGTCTTCGGCGTTATTCCTTATAAGAAAAGGAGATTATGGGGAATCACGAAAAATGAAAAAAAGGGAGAGGCTAGCAAAAAAACATAAATGTAAACAGAAAATTATACATCTGAACATTAGTTAGAGACTGGTCATTTATTTATAGGGAGGGGAACATCAAAACATAACTATAAATAGGCAATAAATAAACAGAGTAGTCAATAGCAAGAACAATCTCCACGCAAACTAAGGATACGTTAAACGTAACCAGGCTGTAAGTCTTGTGAGAAACAGGCTAGCTGCTTGTGCGAATTCCTGTTCTAATTCCGGTCCAGTTTTACTTTGATTCTGCATGATAAAATCTTGAAGTATTTTCTTTCGCACAGATTTGGAGCCCTTGTCCCATTCTTGAAGGAGATTCATGATTCTTGACATAGCTGTTTGTTGCTTTGCACTCCCCCATGACTATATCAACTCACTCAGAAAGGACCTGTTGGTGTCAATATTTTTGCGCTATTTCTTGTGATAGGAGGTCTGTCAGCGTGTTGTTGACATAGTTGCTATACCGCCATCTTGGTTAGTGGGAGGATGAAAGCGCCGATCCAATTGGCTGTTTCACAAAGATACATCCAATGGTATAGCGTGTTTCATATCAACCTCTATTAAGTAAGAATGGGTGTATTTATTGGATACTTGTTTCGTTATAAACCAATCAACCACCACTTTGTATGTCATGAGACTATCACAACAATCATGGCGTCCAGCAAGCACGAGTTCAGAGTCACATTGCCGGCTACTGATGCAGATGATGTCGACTTGACAATTGAGGATAATTTTGCTGTATTCGAAGAAGCAGATATACAAGAGAAGAGACCTGTCATCATTTTACTCGGCTGGGCTGGCTGTGTTGACAAACATCTAGCAAAATACAGTGAAATCTACGAAAAGAGAAGGTGACAGTCTCTCAGTCGCAGTTTGGCATTCTTTGTCTACTTTCAGTTCAGTACTTATATACTACTGATTAGGACTGAAGATAATTTTGCCTTAGCATTAAATCCGTTGAGCTGACCTATTCCGTTCTCACTGAGACAGTTTGATAGATTAAGACAAGAAGTCCGATGAACATGTTGACATTGTGATTGATCATCGGTTGTCACTCCCAGATGACAGACTGATGAGTCATGTCCTGTACATGGGAAGACAACAGGATAAGATGTGTATCGTGCTGTTCTATATTAAAAGAGAATAATAATATCCCAATAACAATGTATTAATTGCAACAGACTGTTTAATGTTACATAATTTTGTATAATGATGTTAGTATCAATCATCTTAATGCATTAAAGGGACACACTCACACGCCCAACTTACTGTGACATCGCCGATTATTTATCCTGTGTAATGATGAATACACAATGCCATTTAGAAAGTGGTCAGATGGTACAGATTCTAGTACTTTTGTTAGATTGAATGTAATCATGGTTGCCACCAGATGTCGATTAGTGTCGGCAAACTGATCTCTGGAGCTAGGGCGTAGCTGTAGCGTCATACGCTTGATGAAGACAGACACTACCATTATGCGTGTGACTGTGCTTAGTTTTTATTACACCTGAAGAGCCATTGAGCAAGATCTTATGTACATATAGGAGTTTTGACAAGAATTAATATCTTGATTCTTTCTTCTGTATACAGTGCACTCTGTCCAACTCGGACTCTGTCTTTCTCGGATTGCTGTATAAACAGGACTGAACTTACGGTCCCGACGTAATCCTTCTTTGTTGTCATAATGAACAAGCTCTGTATCTCGGACTCTCATTATTTCGAAGTGTCGGCCCGAAAAGGTAGTTACACGTAAAAACATTGCTTTATGATCCGGACTGAGCAGGAAGTCCGTTTGGCCAATAAACCTTGAATAAACAATCTTGTTCATTGACAATGCTCCTTCCCACCCTCAAGACATAGTGTTCAGCAATGTTACAGTAAAATATCTTCTGCCCAACACAACGTCAGTTCTCCAACCTCTTGACCAGGGAATAATTCAAGCCTTCAAGCATCGATATAGGAAATTTCTGATGAAATCGCCGATATCATTAAAATCTGTGTACCTCGGACTGCTGTCTAATTCAGACTTTTTACTCGGTCCCAAGCCGGTCCGAATTAGACAGAGTGCACTGTATATTCTTATATTACATTATATTTATTAATCTATACATGTGTGTGTGTTTCTGTTTGCAGATACACACGCACAAACCATGTTAATTCATAAATTGAGAATGCTAAAATTTTACTGACATTTACTGGAAGCTTGGGGCCTAATATTATCCAGAGGGCAGGTGTAGATAAAATGGCTTATTTTTTATGCTATTTGTGATGTTTGGTTGCAAATATTAGAATATCTAAATTAAATCTTTGTGCAATGCCTTTAAGCCCTTACCTTCAAAAAATTATAGTTCTTATTTTTTTCAGATTGATCACGATCCGCCATATCTTTCCGACAGAAGCTATGTTCTACAACTTTGGTCTGCTGAAGCCTATTGCTAAGAAGGTCCTTGATGTTATCTTTGAACAAAACCTGCAGGATCACCAGATCGTGTTCCACATCTTCAGTAACGGTGGCTGCTTCGTCTACTGCCACATCATCGACTTCCTCCACTCCCAAGAGCGATACAATCAGCTGCAGGTGAAGGGCTGCATCATTGACAGTGCTCCAGGGAAGAGGAGGGTAATGAAAGCTGCTCAGGCTTTCATGGCTACACTTCGCATGAACATCATCCTGAAATACATCCTTGGATTCTGCATCATGATCTATCTGTTCTTCTCCAGGCTCATCGGACAATTTCTTGGAAAAGAGAAGGGTTCCGGAAACCCATTTTTCTTGTATGAAAGCATCTGTGAAGACAAAGGAAGGTACCCACAACTGTTCCTGTTTTCTCGAAAGGACCGCGTGATTCTGCATGAAGATGTCCAAGAAGTCGTTGACCGCCGTAAGCAGCATGGAGTAGATGTGTGGAGTGTTTGTTGGGATGATTCGGACCATGTCGCGCACTTCCGCGTCCACAGAGAAGCTTACATTCAAAAGTGCAATGCGTTTGTCTCCCACTGTCTTAAGCTACAGAATCCGAGTTGACTAAGTATGCTATAGGGGTTGGATGAGACACATATATATTTGTAAGGTCTGTGATCTGTGATCAGGAAGTTTTTAAATCAATGAGTAATATGTAAAAGCATTTAGACTGATGATCAAAATGGAATTAGTCAAAACAGGGAACAATGATTTAGCAGGTTTTTAACTGATTTAGGAACTTCTTTTACAGATCCTCATGCCACACTTTGGTCATTCCATCACCTGCACCCCTCTTCTGCATCCCTCACTAAAATATAACTTAAAAAAAGAACAATTCTGTAATAAGAATAATCATGTCTTATAATTATTTATATCAAATTTTATGATAACATTTATGGCATCAATGTCTATGTTTTCCCCGACTCCCTCCAGCAACAATTTCACACAAAACACAAGGAATATTTTTCTGTCGAAAATCAAAGCAAAAAACATGGAATAATTGTTAATCTGACACAAAACACAACATATTGACAATTTTGTCATGGATTTTCCATATTATAACAGGGGTGGAAATAACTTTAAAATTGCTAGTGTACTCCGGTACAGTGGCACATGTAAAATCACTTGCCCTGATAATTTTTCCACTATACCGGCCGTTTTCTTGTTGATTTTTTAAATAAACAACATAATTAATATTGGAAAGTCAACTGGACACTGGTACAGTGTGATATACAAATTTGCTTGCCCGACAGAAAAACACACTGGACTCGGGCGTCAGGCAATGGGTTATTTCCGCCCCTGTATAGGAAGGTTATTCTTGTATATTTTTCTCCATACTGCTGATATTATGATGAGTATGATCTAATGTGTGTTAACTAACAACATTTAGCGCTTGACGACTTCACAAGACTTAACGTGTATTGATATATCAAAGATAGCTATATATGGTATTCAATCAAAGTCTTGCCAGTATTATAACAGTGATACTTTAGGTTGACATAACTTGAAATGCATAATCGGCAAGTAATCCTGAAGTAATATCCTTGAAAATAATCATAATCAGACTTACAGTTGCATATAAGACATAGACCAAATGTATCTGTTTGTCCTGTTTACAAGAACTGTATTATCATGATGATTGAATGTCATTTACTGTGATGATAATCATGATAATCATGTTATACTGAAATCTAGTTTTGTTTTTCACATATATGTGTATGAATATCAGACTTTATTTATTTGTGTTTAAAGATAGTCGTAGCTTTAGATATTTTTGGAGCTTTAAATTTTGATATGCGTCTTTGTTTTTGTTATGCATGAATGGTACAAATAATGTTTTATAGGTTTACAATGTTTGTGTTTTTAGTCACTTCCATTCCTTGCCAAAGTTTCCCTTTTTTCAGAAATATTTTGTTATGGTTTATTGTCATCACAGGAGACAAAAATCTCTGATGTGTATGACATGGAGATGGCAAGAAATACAAAAATCTCTGACGTGTATGACATGGAGATGGCGAGAAATACAAAAATCTCTGACGTGTATGACATGGAGATGGCAAGAAATACAAAAATCTCTGACGTGTATGACATGGAGATGGCGAGAAATACAAAAATCTCTGATGTGTATGACATGGAGATGGCGAGAAATACAAAAATCTCTGATGTGTATGACATGGAGATGGCGAGAAATACAAAAATCTCTGACGTGTATGACATGGAGATGGCGAGACATTTGACACTGTTCACATGACATGGAGAAGGCGAGACATTTGACACTGTTCACATGCTAAAAGTACAAACCCCAAAGGTCGTAAAATGTTTTTCAAGACCACACATTGATGGAGGATGTTTTTTGACAAGTTAATACTGGTTGTTGGTTATAAGTATTAGACGGCTCTGTTCTGCCTGGGTAGTTCTTCTTGTAAGACTACTTCAGAGAACGTGTGTACTGTGTATGCCATGTTTCGCTAGCCTCCAGAGTTTGTTCCTAGTCCAGCTTGATCAAGAGAAAAATGTTTTCATGTTTACGTTATCTGCTTGTTTGTTGCAAACTTCTTCTTTTTTGAATTTTTATATTTTAAATTTTTTTTATTTGTTTGTTGCAAACTTGAAACATGGAATAGATTTGTAATTATGGCCCTTAAATGTAAGGCTGGCTAACTAAATAGCGATTAGGTCTTTGAATGGCATTTAGAAGTGATACACATAAGGAAGAAAGAGGCAGAGAACATGTTCTTACATGTACATATATATGCTCTCTGCCTCATACTATACATTCACCTAATGATGGAGTAAGGACCTACTCTGATATGTGTTCCTCGTTATAAAGAAGTTGACATCCATAAAAACTCTCTTCCTTAAATATCAATTTTCAATAAATATTGGAGAATAAACTAGGAGTAAAAATGTCAAAAATTATCTGAAAAAAATCAACATAATTTACATCGCTGGTGACATATTAATGCATAGATTACTAACAAACATAATCATGAATATAATTGAGAAGCAGCCCAGAAATAAAGACCCAACTTTGTGTATTGTGAATGAATTGAAATTTCATCACAAATGATCATGTATGATATTACATGACACAATTTTCATAACGATAATCGTTAAATATTTCCCATCGACGATATTTCTGATTTTCGATCTTTTAGCCAGCAGTACTTGAATGTGCTTGTCAATGAGGGCTACTGTCATTTGATTCTTGCTTGCACTGTTTAGTAGTCGTATACTAGCAGACTAGTGTAATTTTCAAGGCTGTATGTTTCAACTCATGCTTGCAATGCCATTTAGAGATTGTTGGGTGATAAAATCGATTCTAAGATTTATTGTCACGTATGGATGTTTGCTGATCAATACAAGACAGTGATTAATCTGTGTGTATTGGTATCATTTTAAGAATGATGCTGAATGTCAGTAGACCAAATCATTTGGTGCTAATTGTCAATTGTAGTCATGGAAACACTGTTCTGGTGTCCACCATTGTTGCTGAAATTGGTGTAAAATAATAGTCATTGTCATTATCATGGAAGGTAAGGAAAGGACAAATGTCTCGATCAACACAATGCCATTTAGACTGACTGACTGACTGAGTTTGGTTTTACGCCGCTTTTAGCGATATTCCAGCAATATCACGGCGGGGGACACCGGAAATTGGTTTCACTCATTGTACCCATGTGGGGATTCGAACCCAGGCCAACGCTTTAACCACTAGACTACCCCACCGCCCCCAATGCCATTTAGACAGCAGTGTACCATGTTATATTTGGGTTTTCACTTTCCCAGTAAAGTACAGATTCTAGTACTTTTTCGGTTGAGTTATAACATGTGTTCTTAATCTGATTACACAAAGCCATTTAGAAACTGGTCAAATGTAACATATGTCATTTTCTGAGTAAAGTACAGATTATAGTACTTTTTGAAGTTGCGGTGGCTGAGTGGGTTAGACGGCTGGCTTTGTGTACTGGCGATTAAGTGCCTGATTCTGAGGGTGTGGGTTTGAATCCAGGATGGGACTCAACCCAACAAAAGACTGACTGACTGACGGAGTTTGGTTTTACGCCGCTTTTAGCAATATTCCAGCAACATCATGGCGGGCGACACCAGAAATGGGCTTCACACAATGTACCCATGTTAAGAAAGTGTAATCCCAAATATAACATGTTACATGTTCTTAATCTGTTGAGAAATTTGATGTTCTGTGTGGATGATCTAGTGCTTTTTCTGAGTTAAAATATTTTTCAACATATTTATTATCCCTATTTTGTTGCTTTTCTCATTTTTAAATGCCTCATATAGCTCAGGTATATCAAAGATATACTCTTGCCTCTACCCCCATTGTTACTCAGATGTGCTCAGAGCTCTACTCATTCTATTAATTGGAGTCTGTCATTGAAATGTTTATTTGTCCTTTTCTAGATACAGACCTGAATTATATAAACAATTGTATTTGATTTACTTCATTCATATTTTAATTTTTTTAAAAGGCAATATTTTTAATGAGTTTTAATGCATCCGATAGCTCTTTAGCAGTGTATGAAATAAGCCCAAACCCCAGCCAGACATCAGGACTGGTAACTTCAAAATGTTACCAGTCCAAACTGGATTTAACCAGACCAGACACCAAGATATGACTCAGATGTATATAACATCTCAATTTTTTTACCAGACCATCGGGCTGGCTAGCTGTAAATCTAGACCGTCCGTCTGAAATCTAACCCGTCTTGGGCGGTTGAAGGGGCTTTATTTCATACACTGTCTTTAGTCGAGTGGCCTCAAGGTGGCTATTTATGTCAGGTTGTCATCCTTGCCCGTTTGGTTGATGCATATTATCGTTTGCGAATTGTGTAGATTGATGTCAATCACTGGATTGTCTGGTCCAAACTAGATTATAAACAGACTGCCTTCATAGAGCTAGAATATTGCATGGTTTTATAATACAAACAAATATTTTTGTATCTATGTACAGCCAAATTAATTCAGTTAAATTGTTAGTGAACATCATCAGCAGTATACTTGTGATTCAAATATTTGATTTTGTTGCCAACATAACTTTACTCCCAAAATATTATCATAATGGATTCATTTTCCTCTCTGTGCCATAATAGTTCATAGACATTTTGAATGAATTATTGAAAAGTTATAGTTTATATTATACCAAACTCAAATATTGTATTGAACATTTGTGAATGGTCAAATCTTTCTGTAAAATGTCTAGTCATGCCAGCAGAATTACTTTTCTACACAATTGTGTATCTGAAATGTCATTAAAGTCATGTTGATGTATTTAGCTCACCTGTACATCAGTTCTTCATCAGGTGATCTGTGACAACTCCACAATCAGTACCTTTATGTTGTAATCTGATAACATAAGCATTTAATCTGTTGTATTAACTAGAGTAATCACGACTCAATTAAGCAACTAGAATTTATACTTAGTGATACATGACACAATGCATAATACAATGCATAATACAATGACCATACAATACACTGCAATACAATACAACACACAGTGCAATACACAATATATTACAATACAATATACAATATAATACATTAAGCAGCATGATACAATATACAATAACCACACACACATAACACACTGTATAATACACAATACAATACCAAATACAATACAGTACAAGACACTACAATACAATACATGATATACCTATCTATGTATCAGTGCATGAACGGAGGCTGTTAATACATTAATAGTAATTTGCAGTCAACCACCAGACATGAAGTGAAATACTATTACTGATTGATAATCCAATCAGAACAGGTCCTATTTCCAAATTAGTTGCTGTACAAAAATAACCTGAGTTAACCCCCGGGACATGAAGAAATAGTTTTAAAACTGGGCCCTTATTCTCGAAACGTTTGTAGCCCTAAGAATTCTTAACTTTGATCATAGCCAATGTGTTAAGAATGGGCTTAAGACGTTAGTAGGGCTACGAACGTTTTGAGAATAGCTAGCCTGGTGCAAATTTGATGCATGTCTTAAGTTACTTATCAAAACATGAGCTTGGTGTATTGTGACACATATACGCTGATATCCTGGAGATGAGAACAATTTGTTATGATGTTTTCTCATGTCATACGAATGGTATCTGACATTGACACTTTGAGGTCATACATGGCTATGTAAGTGCAGAATATCAATTGGTTTTGGTGTCAGTGTGCATAATGGCCTGTCGTGTTATTGAAAGTGTTAGCAATAATGTGGTCGCTATGGGTACAATTAAAATCAGATTTGTCATTCTGATGCATTTTCTGTATGAACATCTGTTGACCTGTTGTGATAGCTTAGTGAAGTTTTCTTTATCAAAATGAAATATTTGGGGGGTTTTGAGCCAAATAGATGTCAGCTTTCTTGAAAGTTTCAGATTTATTCCAAAGAAAATAGATATTTATTCCGTAGTTCTCAGGGTACAATGTGTGAAGCCTAGTGGTTAAAGCGTTCGCTCGTCACGCCGAAGACCCGGGTTCGATTCCCAACATGGGTACAATGTGTGAAGCCCATTTCTGGTGTCCCCCGCTGTGATATTGCTGGAATATTGCTAAAGCGGCGTAAAACTAAACTCACTCACTCGCTCACACGTGCATGGAAACATAGATATAAATGCACAGGCACACGAAAATAGAGACACGGGCATTGGGATACAGATATACAGACACATGGACACAGACGAAAACACAGACGTACATATAAGGACAGAGGCGCAGAAATACGCACACAGTTGCAAACAAAAGAACAGGGATGCAGACACACACGTACACATGGAGCCATAAAACACACACACGCACATTCACACAGTATATGCCCTCCGAAGACCCGGGTTCGATTCCTCACATGGGTACAATGTGTGAAGCCCATTTCTGGTGTCCCCCGCCATGATGTTGCTGGAATATTGCTAAAAGCGGCGTAAAACCAAACTCAGTCAGTCAGTCTCAGGGTACTCAGAAACATATGGATGTATTATTTAGTTTGTTGTTTAACGCCACACTCAGCAATATTCCAGCTATATGATGGTGGTATGAAAATAATCAAAGCTGGACCAGACAATCAAGTGATTGATGTCATGATCCTCAATCTTCTTAATTTGGATTCGATGACATGTGTCAACCAAGTCAGCAAGCCTGTCCACCCCGTTAATTGCCTCTTTCGACTGATATTGGTTGCTGCAGACCAATTCTAACCTGTATCTTTACAGGGCTCAGGATGTATTAACTATCCACAACACTTTCATGGTATGGCCTTACATTTTTGCATTTGGAACTCCCCCATTGCATTTGTTTTGCTTGTCAAAACATTTATTGGCCGACTAGAAAATTCACCTGACTCCAATGAAGTTGTCCTAAGATCTTTATACAGATAAGTATTGAATCTGAGTAAGAGATCAGGGGCTCCTTTCGCGAAGCAACCTTTACTAAGGTTGACCTTAACTCCCATTCTTTAACATTGCACTAAGGTTACCTTAGTGACTAGCGATCACCTCAGTGCTTCGTGAAAGAGGGCCCTTATCCTTTTATACTTAGTTGTAAATGTAAATGAAAATATTTCTATTTACAAAGTCATATTCCTTTAAATGCTGAAAACCTAAAGCTGTTACTTGTCTATTCTTTATTGGATTTGTTTCATGTGTTTTGTTACTCTAAGTGCTTTATTTCTCATAAGTCATAATGTGTATACATGCATAGTCTTTTTGACTGGACACCTTTTATTTATATGGAAAGCAGAAAGTCAAAAGATGTTTTAACATTATAACTGTTAGCTTTGTTTTCTTATGATGAGATTATTTTAATGTATTATTCAAGAAAATAAATGTATCAAGGACATTCTTGAGTTTTTGTCTGTGTGGCACTGGAAGATTAACAGTCATATTACAATGTCATCCTACTGTCCTACAGGGTAACCTCAATTACACAGATCAATGCTCATGCTGTTGATCACTGGATTGTCTAGTCCAGACTTGATAATTTACAGACCGCTGCTATATAGCTGGGGTATTGCTGAGTGTGGTGTTAAACACCAAACCAAAAAGGCTACAGGGTACCCATTTGCTGCTGTTGACACTGGGCTTATGATTGTTGTTTGTTGTTTA